GCTTTTTTCTTTTTGCTTATGTGGTGCTGAGGAATCAAACCCAGGGCCTCAGGCATGCAAGGCAAGTGCTCTACCACTGAGCCACCTTCCCAGCCCCTTGCTTGTTATTTTAGAGATGGGATCTCATAAACTTCTATGCTCTTGCTATCTCTGGACCACAATTCTCTAGATCTCAGCCTCTAGAGTAGGTAGGATTAATGAGCCAGTAGCTTCCATGTAGATATTCTTCGGGGGCTTGAACTCAGGACCTGAGTACTGTTTCTTAGCTTTTTTGGTCATGGTTGGCACTCAGCCATTTGAACCACAGCTTCATTCCCAGCATATGGTGGTTAATTGGAGATGAAAGCCTTTGTCTTTTCTGCCTAGGCTGGCTTCAAACTGAGATCCTTAGATCTCAGCCCCCTCAGTAGCTAGGATGACAGGTGTGAGCCACCACTACTAGGCTTCCATGTGGGTTTTCTAGGACCCTAAACCTGCTGCAGTCTGACCCCAAGTGGTCCATGTTATTCAAGGCTTGTTTCTGAGTGATTGGAGCTAAGAAGGCACTTAGGGAGAAATGCCTTGATTCTAGGAGTTGTCCCTGTGATGGAGGTTTGTCCTGGCTTCCTTTCAGCTTCCAGACAATACATGAGGCTGTGCTGGGAACATTTTGTGCAGATGAGCAGCGATCAGGATGTGACTGAACTTTATGGGGTAGTGGGGGAGAAAAGAAGCGAAATAACTCAATTTCAAAGATGATCCCCAAAAACAATAATGGCATTCTAGAGAAAGAAAGACCAAAGTCAACAAAAGGATAATGGCATAGTCACCTTACAAGCTAGAATTTTCCAAGTGAAAGGCTTTTCTCTTAGTTATTACCTACTTTTAAACACAACTGGGTATTGCTAGCAATGATTAGCAAATGTCCTTATTTGCATAAAACTGACATTTTTCCCAGTACCCAACTGCTCTATTCTGAGAATTCAGCCTCATCTCTAGCCAAAATGCAATCATTATGGAGCTAGTGGCTTGTTAAATTGCAAATGGGGATTCGAGGAGGAATGGGAAGTGCCATCCTTGTTAACACTGGGCAAAGCTGAACAGTCTGAGCCTCTCTGAGACCCAGAAGGATGGAGAACACACTCGGGAAGGGACCCTGTGTGGGAAAAGCCAGGCTGGACTTCACTGGCAGAGAGATGAGCTGGCTCTGCTGGGGTCCCAGTGTGCCCAGCAGTTTGATGGCTTTCCAGCCCCTCCAGTTTGATAGGCCTAATCAGTGTGTGATCAAGATTGGCACAAGCCACAGATATTTTCAGCTCGCAGCAAATGACAGGATGGGATGAAAGGCACAGGGAAGCAATGTCCTTCAGCTTAAATCCACTCTCATTGCTCCCTCTTGGCAGGAATGTGGGAGCATGGCTGAAAGCCGATGTTCAGGTTAGTGAGTCATGGCTTTCCAGGCCTTCTGCACTGTCCATTCTAGCTCTGGTGCTCAGGATGTATGAGCCTGGGCTTTTATTGTGACATTCAGGAGAGGAACATGATTCCACCAACTGCCATGGGATACAATGAAATGACTTCTGTGGCATTCTTGCCATGGAGTATGTACCAAATTAAAACTATTGTGCAGTTAAAAGTCATGACTTCTGGCTGGGCACCAGTGGCTCACACCTTTAATTCTCGCTATTCAGGAGGCTGAGATCTGAGGATTGAGGTACTAAGCCTATCCAGGCAGGAAAGTCTGTGAGACTCTTATCTCCAATTAAGCATCAAAAAAGCCAGAAGTGGATCTACAGCTCACGTGATAGAGTAAAGAAGTGAGTAAAGTGAGTAAAGAAGCCTAGGCCCTGAGTTCAAGCCCCAGGACTGGAGGTGGAAAAATCAACAATACCAACAATACCAAAGGCAGAGTGCAAAGATTCTCAAATCCTGCTTCAGGTACTCAGGAGGCCGAGGCAGGAAAATCTTGAGTCAAGGATAGCTTGGCAAAGTAACTGAGACCCTTTCTTGCTGTTGTTGTTATACCAGTACTGCGAATTTAATTCAGGGACTGGGTTCTATCCCTTAGCTCTTTTGCTCAAGGCTGGTGCTCTATCACCTGAGTCATACCTCTACTTCCAGCTTTTTACTGATTAATTGGAAATAAGAGTCTTGTAGACTTTCTTGCTGGGGATGGCTTCCAACGGTGATCCTCAGATCTCAGCCTCCAGAGTAGCTGGGATTATAGATGTGAGCCACTAGCGACTACCAGCAACTGGCTTTAGCCTTTCATACACTTAACTCATGCTGTTTTCTCACATTCCTTCCAGGTAGATGATGTAATCACCCACGGTTACAGGCAAAGAAACAAACATTGGAGAGCATAAGATGATTCAGAATCACACACAGGAAAACATATTGTTGACCAAGAAGCACCCTTTAAGTCCCATGCTCTTCCAAGAGTTATCAAATCCAGAAGAACACCCACCTGTGTGAGCAGCAGGCAGCAGGGAAGCCCTTAGAATTACACCTGGACTCTTGAGATGCCATCTTTGCCCTGTTCAGAGCTGGAGGATTGCCTGAAGAGGCTTATTCTCACAGGCAACCCCAGTATGTCTTAAGCTTTCTCAGATGCCAGGAGGGTATTTTTGTCTTTGATTCACATGCTTATTCTTTTCATATCTCAGGGCTTTTGCATATGCTGTTTATTTCTTTTGCCTAAAGAACAACATCTCTGATACTTTAAACAACTGAACCTGTTTCCCTACCTGTAAAATGGCCATTATGCCACCCAAGTTGTTCGGAATATTAAATGAAATATGTCGGGTGCCTGGTCTGAGGGGTGATCACTAGATAATGATATACTGACTCTAACCTTTCTTCCAAGAATGGGGCCAAATACCACATCCTATAATCTATTCACTCTCGTCTCAATGACAGGGCTTGTCCCTTTTCTTTGTTCATATTCCATTTTGTTTAAAATCATGACTCATCTAGTTTTCTGTCTCCCACTGGGCTGAAGGCCAGAGCCAAGTTCTCCACGTCTTTCTCTGAGGGGGTGTATGTGACAGAGAGTAAGTGCTCAATTAATGACAACAGACCGCTGCCTGTGGCCTAGCCTTGTGGAAGTATGGAGAGTTGCCAGATCACCTTCTTAGCCTCTAGGGCCCCAAGCTTGTGAGTCAGGATCTGCCTGGTGGGATCTGAGCAAACGCCCCAGTGCCTGGGGTCAGACTGATCTAAGCTGCCTTCTCTGCTTCCGTAGTGACCTGCAAGATGACTTCATCTCACCATGTGGAGGCTGCAGGCAAGTCATGAGAGAGGTAAGAGCTCCTCTTCTGCCCAGAACAGAAACCTTGTGTCTCCTGGCCTTCCCAGGCACCAGAGCAACACTAAGCTGTGAGCAGAAGCACACGGAGACAGCCCCATCTGCTCAGCTGGTGATGCCTAGGCCTTTTCAGGCTTGCAAAAGTCACTGGAAACAAGTCCTTCCTCTGGCTAACACTTACCAAAGGTGTGTCATCATTGATGCCAGGCCCTGAGCCAGCACTGGGGACAATTCAAGCCAGGTCCTGCCTGCCCTCAGAGAGGTACAGGCTGGTGCAAAAGCAGACAATAAGCAGGGCAAGAAATGAACAAGCAGCAGAGTTTCTGAGTATGAAGAGTACAGAAGCAAAACCCCACAGGACAGCCGGTCAAGTGAAGAGGGCAAAGGGGAGGCTCTGGATCAGGAGTTGGAAGACTCCACCCCCGCCTACCACTTGGTTGCAAAAAACACAGTCATGTCCATTCATCAGGGTACCTCTGTGGCCACCTTGGTTCTAGGACAGCAGAGTTGAGCAATTGCACAGAGGTGAAAACCTGAAATATTGACATGTGGCCTTTGACAATGGTTCTCTGAGACTGGGTCTCTCTGACTTTTTTTCCCTGGACTATTCTCAAACTGCAATCCTCCTTTCTCCCCCTCCCACATACCTGGGATGACAGGTGCATGCCACCACACCCAGCTGGGGCTTTTGGAGTTGTGCTGATTGCTTCAGCTTTGACTTTCTGCTTTGGGGCTTCAAGGGATCTGAGGGTCTGAACACTTCAGTCTCCTGCTGCTTCTGTCAGTACTGCAACCAGGCACAGTTTGTAAAGCTCATTTCTCAGATGCAGATGACAAACATTGCCAGAAAGATGCAGCATTCACACACTGCAATGTGCATGACTGCAGGGCATACCCAGCTGCCCAGCAGAATGGTGATATCTAAGGTCACAGAGAGAAGTCACAATTTAGCACCCAGACTCTGGCTCCCAACACCTCAATGTGGTCGAATTGCTCTTTACTTTCTCCAGATTAGATGCTGGCAAAGGAGAAAGCTGGCATATGAAAAAGCTGGAGGAGAGAGAGGAAAGACTGAAACCAAATGAAATGATAAGAGATGGAGCCTGGGGGCCAGAATGGCGCTTAGTAGATTGGCCTTCTAGACTGGCCTGCACTTGGCTTTTGTCCATACCCTCAGACAGAGCCTGCCAGGCAGGAAAATTTCCCCTTAGAACATTAATTCTGAAATAGCCAGAAGATTGATGGTGTCTGGTAATGGCCTGGTGATTCAGACAGAAAGATGGAAGGAAAATAGGCTGCAAACCTGAGCACTTGCAAGCAGCCAACCTAACAATCACAGTGGTTGCATGAACTGACAACCTTCTGTGCACAGGGTCTGCACTTGGATGTCTTCCACCAGTCAGCTCTAAAGCTCACCCTGCCTGGGCCAGGCAGACCCTGGGCCTGTTGATAACTCCAGGCTGTTTCCATGAGCTTACTACTGATTTAAGTCTCCTCAATGTATCAAGACACTGAATCCAGACTGGGTATGGTGGCTCATGCCTGTAATCCTAGCTACTCAGGAAGCTGAGAATTGAGGATCACAGTTCAGAGCCACAGCTTGAAACAAATCTGTGAGACCCTTATCTCTAGTTAGTCAGAAAAAGGCCAAAAGTAGAGGTATGACTTAAGTAAAAAAAGTCAAATGAAACTACAAGGCTCTGAGTTCAAGCCCTAGTATCACACACACAAACACACACACACACACACACACACACACACACACACACACACACACACTTACCCAAGCAAAAAATTATAAATAAGGCTGAGAATAGTGGCTCACACCTATAATCCTGGCTAGCTACACAAGAGGCAGAGATGGAAAGATTGAAATTTGAGGCCAACCCAAGCCATAAAAATAAGGTTGGCAAGCCACCTCAATCACTAAGCTGAGTGTGGTAGTCTGCGTCTACAATCTTAACTGCTTGGGAGGTAGCGGTAGGAGAATTGTGATCCAAAGGCCAGCCCTGGGTAGAAGCGTAACACCCCAACTGAAAAACAAACTTAAAGCTGAAAGGGCTAGGAGTATGGCTCAAGTGACAGAGGCAAGCAAGAGGCTCTGAGTTCAAATTCTGTACAGCCAAAACAAATCACAAAGTTATAAGTAAATAAGTTATTTTAAAAATTATTTACCCAGGGAGCAAGTAATGCTCCTTAGATTATTGAAAGGTCAGGAGACAGCTGGGCATGCCTGTAATCCTAGCTACTCAGGAGGCTGAGATCTGAGGATCACAGTTCAAAGCCAGCCCAGGCAGGAACATGTGAGACTCTTATCTCCAATTAACCTCCAGAAAACTGGAAATGGCACTATGGCTCAAGTGGTAGAGCTCTTCTTGAGCTGAAGAGCTGCGGGACAGCGCCCAGGCCCTCAATCCCCACAACTGACCAAAATAAAAACAAACAAACAAAAAAAAATCAGGAGACATATTCAGCCTTGCTGACTTTACTCTGGGTAAACTAAAGCACAGAGAGGGGCATGACATGGTATACAGGAGAGCTAGACTCCTGTCTCTCTCTCTCTCTCTCTCTCTCTCTCTCTCTCTCAACCCTCTAGTCCTGCCTCAATCACGTTGGCTCTGCCTCTTTTCCAGTTTGGCAGTGACTGGGCCGTGTACATGACCAAGCCGGATGGTACCTATGTTGTCAGGACAGTTCAGGAGCTGCTGCCAGCCTCTTTTGGGCCAGAAGACCTGCAGAAGACCCACTGATGGATGGCCAGAGAACACCCACTGCCCTGGAGAGCCTGGGTTCTCCCAAGGCCTGGAAGAGATAGCCCTCAGAAACACCATAAAGCCTGGGGTCATCTGACAAATGCAATTCAACCCTCCAAGGGATGGGAGGTAACTCAAGCACCATGGATTTCACCACGCCCGACCCAGAGCCCCTCCTCCAAATCCCTGCACCCTGGGAACCCAGACCACTGCAACCATCTTTAAAATACCAAGCCTGGCCTGCTTTCCCACCAGCCTCCCTGAGCTTTTGTCTTGTTCTGATCGTAAACATCATAGAGCATTCTGATTCAGAAGAATAGGCTTTCCTCATCTCTATTGCTGCTGGCAGCTTTTAAGAGGGACAGACAAGGTAGAAAGAGCTTGGCAAGTTCTGCTGGAAGACAAGACACCTCAGAACCAGGTGCCTTCTGGGTGGAGTCTGAGTCTGTGTGCTTCTTGCCCCTGTGTTCCCAGATGAGAGATCTGTAGGCTGGGCTGACTGGTGGTTCCCATCCCTATATAATTGACATCTGGGATGGCCCTCCAAGGCTCATGTGTTAAAAGCTTGGCACCAGCCTGTTGAACTATTTGGAGGTGGTGGACCTTTAAGAGGTGAGGCCTAGTGGGAGGAAGAGAGCTCCTTGGGGGCAAGTCCTCAGAGGGAAGGGGAGGAAACCCAGTCCCTTCCTCTTCCTATTTCTAACTTCCAAGTCATGAGATGAGCATGTTTTTCCTCTTGCCAGAAGTTGTGCTGCCTCTCCAGCCAGAGGCCTCAAGAGCAGTGGGTCCACCCAACCATGGCCAAAATAAACCTTTTCTTCTTATAAGTTGATTCTCTCAAGTATTTACTAAGGGATGAGAAGTTGACAACATACCGTACATAGCCGATCCATACTAGACCCTGAGTGCAGTCCCTCTCACAACTGTAAATGAGATTCTGTAATGCAAGGGAGAGGCAGAGGCTACAGTAAAGGTTTCTCACACGTGTCACATGCTTTTATTTTGTTACTTTGGTATGTGTGTGGGGGGGTATGATACTGGAGCTTGAACTCAGGGCCTTATGTTCTTGTTCATCTTTTTCACTCAAGGCTAGCACTCCATCACTTGAGCCACATTTCTACTTCCAGCTTTTTGATGGGTCATTGAAGATAAGAGTCTTACAGACTTTATCTGACTGGGATGGATCTGAACCAAAGTCCTCAGATCTCAGCCTCCTGAGTAGCTAGGATTACAGGTGTAAGACACCAGCACCTGGCTATATCACCTTATACATCAAATATGCTAAATACTGTAGAGAGAAAATGTATATGAAACAGTCTCTGCCCTTGTGGAACACAGTCTGATAAGAGAGAAGTGCAGACAGATCTATATTTTTTTGCCAGTCCTGGGGCTTGAACTCAGGGCCTGAGCACTGTCCCTGACCCTCTGTTGCTCAAGGCAAGCACTCTACCACTTGAGCCACGGTGCCACTTCCAGCCTTTTCTGTTTACGTGATGCTGAGGAATAGAACCCAGGGCTTCATGCATGCTAGGCAAGCACTCTACCACTAAGCCACATTCCTGGCCCAGGTAGAGACAGATCTAATGTGCAGAATGATCCAGACAGTTACCATGTGTGGGCACAGTGGGGCATTTTTTACTCTGGAGTGTGAGGAAGATCTGTCTGTCTGTCTTTCTCTCTCTCCCTTATATACATACAAAATCATGAGGACTGAATAGGGGAATGGGCTGGCCATGAGGCTGGCATTGTGAGGGGAGGGGAGGTGTTAAAACTAGAACTTCAGAGCCAGAAGTGGAGAATCAAGCCTGTAACCCCAGCTTCTTGGTAGGTGGAGATCAGGAAATCTCAGTTCAAGGACAGCCTGGGCAGAAAGAAGTTTTTGAAAATTTATGCCAACCAATGGCTGGGCACAGTGGCATAGGTGTCATCCCTAGGGACATGAAGAAGCACAAGTAGGAGAACCACAACCCAAGTTGACTAGGCCATAAAGCAAGACCCTGCCTGGAAGATAACCATTGTAAAAAGGGCCGGAGGCATGGCTCAAATGGTAAACCATGGCTTTTTCCTGACAGAGGTAAGAACCTGAAGGACAGGAAGTAGACAGGTAAACTGCCCCTTCACTAGCTCTTTACATTAGCATGTATGGGTAAGTGTTCTACCTACGAGGACTGTGGCTTTTCCACCCAGCTTATGATGAACCAAACTTATCTGGACATCCTGATCATTATCACTGCTGTCTGCTTTTCATTAGAAATGGATCTGGGGCCAGGCACCAGTGTGGCTCACATCTGCAATCCTAACTACTCAGGAGGCTGAGATCTGAGGATCACAGTTCAAAGCCAGTCTGGGCAAGGAAAGTCTGTGAGACTTTTATCTCCTATTAACCACCAGAAAACCAGAAGTGGCACTGTGACTCAAGTGATAGAGTGAAGAGCTGAGGGACAGCACCCAGGCACAGAGTTCAAGCCCCACAATCGACCAAAAAAAAAAAAAGAAGAAGAAGAAATGGCTTTGGGGGCTGGGCACCAGTGGCTAATGCCTATAATCCTACCTATTTGGGAGGCAGCGATTGGGAGGATCACAGTTTGAGGCCAGTCTAGTTTAGTGCCTTCTGTGTGCTAGCATTGGGATGGATTCTTGGGGACACAGCATGAAATAAGAAAGTCCTTGCCCTCACGGAGCTTTGTCTGCCAGTGGCAATGTAAGAGCTCAGCGACTGTAGTTCTTCATGACAACTATCACTCAAGGGGGAGAAAGAGCAGGGAACCAAGGAGCAGATAGAATGAAATTTGCTTCAGAATGAGGCTGCCGGGAAAGGGGAAAGAATGGTACTTATCTGGCTGGGATGCTTGTTTAAAGTAGAGCATTTTCATTTTGCAAAACAGCTCTGAAGACCTGGATTTGCAGAGCAGCACAGGCTCTCTTCAATGCTGTTCTGTCTTCCAGAGCTCTGAAGGGCCTGCATCCCCATGGAAATAAACAGAAGCATGCTGGTCCTGCTGCTCTTGCCAGCTGCTGCCACTGCTGACGTCAACTGCGTGATCCTTTAGGATTTTTTTTTCTTTTTATCGATCATGAGGCTTGAACTTGGGCCTGGGTACTGTCCCTGAGCTTTTTCACTCAAGGTTAATGCTCTACCACTTAAGCTTCAATACTATTTCCACTATTGTGGTGGTCAATTGGAGATAAAAGTCTCACAGACTTTCCTGCCCAAGCTGGCTTCGAACCACCATCCACTCAGATCTTAGCCTCCTGAGTAGCTAGGATTACAGGTGTGAGCCACCAGCCTCCAACTTAGGATTTCTTTTGGCAGGGATAAGGACACACTATAATGATAGACTAGGGGACTTCAGTGGCAACTGAAGCCAGAAAATGCTGTGCAAAAATGAATGGGCTGGCAAGTGGCTCATGCTTTGCATGCAGGAAGCCCTGGGTTCAATTCCTCAGCACCACATAAGCAGAAAAAGCTGGAAGTGGCGCTGTGGCTCAAGTGGTAGAATGCTAGCCTTGAGCTGAAGAGCTGAGGGACAGCACCCAGGCCCAGAGTTCAGGCCCCACAACCAACAACAACAAATTAATGGGGCAGGCTGGGAATGTGCCATGATGGTACGGTGCTTGCCTAGCATGC